GATTGTTGATGTAACCAAGATTGTTCGAGATGGACTCGGTACTGGACTGGACATGACCGACTGTGGAATCCGTTCGGTATGCGGCACCTGCTGCGAAGGTAAGCTTTCTCGTTTACCTTTCCCTAAATCAGACACGAAGTCGAAAGCGGTTCTTGATTTAATACATTCCGACTTGTGTGGTCAAATGGAAGTCGTCACTCCGAGCGGAAACCGCTATGTTTTGACGTTGATTGACGACTTCAGTAGATATTGCGTAATTTACCTTCTAGAGCGCAAATCGCAAGCCGAAGAGAAGATCCGAGAATTTGTCCAGTTGGCACAAACACAGTTCGGGAAAACGCCCAAAATCCTTCGGACCGATGGCGGCGGAGAGTATTCAAGCGAATCGTTCAAATCGTTTTTGCAGAAGGAGGGCATTTTGCTGCAGCAGACCGCGCCGTACAGCCCGCAGCAAAACGGCAAAGCTGAGCGAATGAACCGGTCGTTGATCGAAATGACCCGTTGTCTGCTACGTGACGCTGACATGGACAAGAGGTATTGGGGTGAGGCCATTAACACCGCCAACTACCTACTCAACCGGCTTTCTTGTTCCGCTACTGGTAAAACGCCGTTCGAGCTCTGGAGCGGAAAGCTGCCGGATTACAAACATTTGCGTATTTTCGGATCTGCTGCCTATGTCCACGTACCGAAAGAAAAGAGGAAGAAGCTTGACCAGAAGAGTATCCGGATGATTTTTGTTGGTTATGCGGACGGAAGAAAGGCGTACCGGTTCCTTGATCCGGACACGAATGCTGTGACAATAAGCAGAGATGCAAAGTTCGTCGAGGAGTTCTCGAAAGAGGAAGATATTCGTGAAGTTGTTCCAGTCTCGGTTGCAGTATCGCGACATCCGGAAACCAGTTCGGCGAAAGAAGGCTCCGGTGCATTTCCGGCGAAGAATTTGGTGGAGATAGATCGGTCTCCGATTCCGACGGTGGAGGACGAGGTTCCTGATGATGAATCAGTATCTACTATGGAAGATGAAGCGGATTCTTCTGACACCGAAAGGAACTTTGATACGGCGGATGAAACGGAGGAATCAGATTTCGAAGGCTTTCGGGACAAGGAGTTCCAGCGACGTTCGCAGCGAAGCACCAAGGGGAAAGCACCAGTTCGCCTGATCGAAGAAATTAACGCAGTGCGCATTCAGGAGGAGAACGAACCGAAGACCTCGTGATTTGAAGACTTGGGAGATCGTCAAGCTACCGGAGGGGAAGAAAGTGGTTGGCAGCCGCTGGGTTTATAAAATCAAACGGAATGCCAGCGGTGAGCCGGTGAAGTATAAAGCACGATTAGTCGCGCAGGGGTGCAGTCAAAAACCAGGAGTCGACTTTGAGGAGGTTTATGCACCGGTCGTGACTCAAGCCACTTTCCGGACGCTACTGGCGGTGGCGAGCTACAAGAAGATGGTTCTGAAGCATGTAGATATAAAGACTGCCTACCTCAACGGGAGTCTCGGCGAAGAGGTCTACATGAGGCAGCCCCCGGGGTTTGCTGAACCGGGCAAAGAAGGATTCGTTTGTCGTCTGCTCAAAAGCATATATGGGCTGCGACAATCCGCACGCTGTTGGAACCAGCGAATGAACGAAGTCTTGAATGACATGGGGTTCACGGCTAGCTCGGCAGATCCATGCTTGTATGTTCGTGACGTCGAAGGTAAAAGTGTCTACATCGTGCTCTACGTCGATGATGTTGTCATCGGATGCGACGATGAAGGGGAGATAGATCGAGTTCACGAAGAGATCAGCGAGCATTTTGAGACGACCGGATTAGGAGAGTTGAAGTACTTCCTCGGCCTGGAGATCGACCGTGTTGCCGGAAATTACGGAGTGTGTCTGTCGGGATACATTCAGCGCGTTGCTGAACAGTTCGGCTTGGGTGATGCCAAATCTTCTCGTACACCTATGGATGAAGCTTATGCTCGGGGCGACTTGGACAGTCAGCTACTCCCGGACAACGTGAACTACAGAAGTTTGGTGGGCGCCTTACTGTACATCTCCGTGAATGCGCGATCTGATATAGCTGTTGCTACTTCGATCGTTGCTCGGAAAGTTTCCCAACCGACGGAGGCCGACTGGACGGCCGCGAAACGTGTCGTCAGATATCTGCGTGGAACCCTTAACTGGAAATTGCAATTCACTGAATCTGCACCAACGCTGATGGGTTACTCCGACGCAGATTGGTCTGGGGACCACAAAACCAGGAAGTCAACATCTGGATTCGTATTCACCGTGGGCGGCACTGCGGTAGCCTGGAGAAGCAAGCAGCAGAGCATCGTGGCACTCTCATCAATGGAATCGGAATATGTCGCGCTTAGCGAAGCAACGCAGGAGGTGTTGTGGCTACGAAGACTACTTGCGGATCTAGGATTCGAGCAGAAGGAGCCAACGGTGTTGCACGAAGACAATCAATCGTGCATCGCCTTTGTACGATCGGAGCGGGTCGGTAAACGCTCAAAGCACATCGAGACGAAGGAGATGTTCGTGCGCAATCTTTGTGAGAAAGGAGAGATAACATTGCAATACCTTTGTTCGGAGGAGATGATCGCCGACGCTTTAACGAAGCCGCTGGGAACGATTAGAAACCGGAAGCTGTCGACGAAAATGGGATTGACCGAAGATGAATTTCGTGGAACGTCGGGTAAAGATTAAGGAGGAGTGTTGACGTCATCATAACTTCACCTTGCTAATCATTTACCTTTGTTCCATCCCTTTGCTATGACTGGCAGCCCTGATGTCAGTCTCAAAACATGAGAAAAGAGAACCACAACCTGTAAAACTTGAGTCTAATAAAACCAAACGGGTCCTTATTTTAGGAAGTTAATTTGACTGTTTTAAGTAGAAATTCCCCGAAATTTCCCCACCAATCTTACGTTAGCTAATACAGTGGTCTTCCGGACACACAATGTGTCATGCCAGTTTTTTTATAAATGTTTTCGATCAATACTCCGGTGGTCTTCCAGACGCTCCTTGTGACGTTCTCAGGAATAAACCAGAAATTTTCAAACCTTGCAGCATTCTTAACAACACAAAAAATGCACAATGTTTTATGCCAAATACACAAGGCTTCCAATCAAAACTTCGGTGGTCTTCCAGACACCCCTTGGGGCGTTCCTAACCACAAACCAAAAATCTGCACAATGCGTTACGTCAGACACAATTCTTTCAATCAAAGCTCCGGTGCTCTTCTAGACACACCTTGTGGCGTTTCTAACCAAAAACCAAACAAATCTGCACAATATTTTATGTCAGAATACGCAATGCTTTTAATCAATGTTCCGATGGTCTTCCAGCCACACCTTGCGGCGTTCGACAAACCACTCGCAATGACGGTACAATGAGGAAGAGCACGAGAGACGATCACTGCGTGCTCTCATAGTCTCTGTCGTCACATCTGCTGAGGAGTGCGCAGGGTTATGTTCGCAGTAGGTAGTGAGCGGCTAGCATCTCTATGGGGGGGTATTCTATACCGCACAGTAGCCTTTTTGACAACAGAGGCGCTTTCATAGCTAAACATTCGGTTCGCCAGCTAAGCAAAAGAGTGGATCATATTGCTAATATAATATATAGGGAAAATTGCTCTTATGTTGGCCTATGGATCTAAGATTGGGCCCATCGCAAAAAATCTGCTATTTATGAATTGTATCTATAGATGCACGCATCATTGGGACGGTACTAATGGATATTTTTGGTTGCTATTGAAAATTTAGTCGATTGCTGAATTTATGTATGGGCCCAAATTAGGGGCATTTAGGCTGATATTACATCCATTTACCCTATATGGTGTAAACGAAAAGTGGTCTTCAGCAAAGTTGTAGCTATTGAAGTTGAGAATTTCTTATAATTACATGTACCATTTTTTAAAGCAGAGCAATATGGTGAATTGTGAGATAGATATGAACAAAACATTTGGTTTTCCCATACTTATTTCCATTTAAACTTCAAATGGTTTGTGCCAAGTTAGTTTCTTACCAAATGAGATCAAATTTTGGAAGGCTAATCAGGGCCCGATTTGAAATCGTTTGAACACTGTGGAGCAAAAATTTCAAATTTTGCTTCTGTTTACTAGAGAGGGTCTCCCTAGTAAACACCAAATGTTGCACATGGTCACCGCAAAATACTCAAAAATTGTAATTGTAATTTTTTAATTATAAGTAAGCCTGTTAGTTATATTTACTTTACATCAGGTCTAGAAAAAAATGCTATACAATAACAGAGGAAAATTAAGCGAATCACAACTGACTTTGGCCTCAGTTGGTAGTTATTCTTTTAGTGGCACCGTCGAACCATTCTCTTGTGGGGTTTTCCGGCGGACCTGCCCAGCTGATAACCCATCGGTTTTTGTACGTTTGCATACTTTTTAATCCAGCATCGCTGAATAATCGAGAGTTGGATTAAAGGTTTTTAAAGATTATAAAGGGAATGCTGTTGTACTTATATGGATAATTTTAAATATGACCTTAAAAAAATAATAAGCTAAATGAACTAGCCTAGTACAAACTCATCAAAAACCACAATGGTAATAATGAAATGGAATCTAATAATGGAGCTATATACTACCCATAATCGCATATCAGTCCCATCTTTGCTTAATTTCCTATCCATATGGGACTGATATGCGATTATGGGCAGTAAAAGACATTGAAAACAGTCGAATTAAAGCGTCAATGTATGTACAAATTACTCTTATTCAGCTTGTAATTAGATCAAACTTCTGGTGTTGAATCAGGAAGACAGTCAACGTTTATAAAGCTTTCAATAAGTAAATTAATCAGATCAGAGAAAACAGTGGAATAAAGGTGCATCTATCGATCTCGATGAGGTTTTTTCATCACATAATTCGATAACCCTGTTTTACTCAGCATTGTACACTGCTATACATCATTTATTCAATATATATGCTTATTTGTGACTCTGAATAGTTTGTTGGCATGTCATCAGTTCAAACAAACACTCTATATCGGAAGATTGTACAAAACTTGAGAATCTATTCTACTCATCGCTAGTAGGTAGGTATCGCTAGTTTGCTGATTTCAATATGAAACTCTTGTGTTATTGCTCTGTATCACACTGAATACCACTTTACGTTCGTGTGGATATATGTATATATGTATCCGCTGTTTCAAATTAGAAACCTTTTGTCGATGAGCGTCTTTTTGGCCAGGTTGTTCTTCAGCAGATAGTTCATCACAATCTCAAACGTCTTATATGCGATCCCGACCACAACGATCGCCACCAGATAGTCGTTACACAGTAGCACAATCAATAGGAATAGAGCTAACTCTAGCTGGAAGAATATTGACTCATTGCCGTAGAACAGCACCTGATCAAAGGAGTGTCCGTTGTCGATGTAGAAAACACCTTTATCTGTTTGGATGGGTAGAAGTAGAGGAATTACATGGAAGTTTCATATATTTACTTGAAACCGTATTCATACGCACTTTCGGTTACATAACTCTGGAATTCACAGTTGAGAATACTCTCCAGAATACTACGCTCCTGTATAATATAATCCAGGTCTTTCAAGGCCTAAAAGATAAATAGTTAAAATAAGGAGTATAACAACATCACAGAAAACTAACATGATCGACAAAAGCCGCGAAGAATCGATTCACATTATAGTACGTATGAATGGTCTTCTCAAAAGTGTACTCATAGTGTCCCCCAGGGCCGCTGATTACACCCGAATTACTAAGCTTTGCACTACCGACCAGATGTGTTTGATTCAGGTGTTGATGTGGTCCAAAGTTGGACGAATTTCTCAGCGGTGCTATCAGCTTATCGTAGAAAGCCCGCAGATTCTTTGGCACCAATATTGAGTAGGTTTGCTGCTCCGAGCCGGGCAGCAAGCCCCGGTTACCGCAAAGATTATCCTCTTCCCGCTTAAACTGTAGTATCATCGAGCACATGTCCGTATCGGAGAAACCATGTGGTGACCGACCGTGGATATAGAATCCATACGATTCCATGCATAGGATGAAGACGGAGATGTTCGCAATCGAAGCAACATCAATGAACTGCTGTATAGCATTTTCGATAAAACGCTCGTAGATGAGGAAATTGTAGATCCGTTGAACGAAATATATCGTTCCGTACACGATTATCCCAACGGCTACCTTCAGAACTTTGTCGTCCTCTCCCAGGTGTTCTTCTTGCTTATGAAGGTGAAGGTCGAAACTTTTCGCTGACCAGTGTTCGAATCCGCACAGAAAAAATACAGCAATCAGGAGGATAATGTGAGCGAACATGGAAATCTTACGCTTCGTAGCCAGCTCTTGCCACTCGTTGGCAATGAAATAGTTACGCCAGGCTGATACACTGTCACACGAGGGCCGGGCCTGAAAAGGAATTTCAAAATAGTTCAACCTAGTTAGAAGAATGTCATTTACTGCCGTTTTCAGGGCAAACCAGGACGAAAACATTAAGTTTAATATTGAACGGAAAAAGGGCCGATCTCTTCACCAGCTTTTAAAACGAACTGGCTTAAAACTTAAGTGCACGTGAAGTAATCGGCCCTTAACTAAATATGTTGACTTTCTACCAGCGAATTCACAAAATTGCAACTGAATTTCGTAGATAAATTTCATCGAAGAGAAAGAAATTTCTACATATACCTTAAGGTAACCATCCATCGCTCATGTAGTCTCTCTTATAGTACGTTCAGACTACAGAGTTATAACATGTTATAGCGCTATCTTGATGGTTGTTTTTGTGTTGCAATTATTTGACAACCGTTATAAGATGTTATAACTCTCCAGTCTGGACAGCGTTTTACGCATTATAACAAATCAGGGGAAACATGTCAGAAGGGTCTAACTCAAAACGTAAAAAATTACTGGGATCGTCGGTTTCTTACAAATGACAACACACCCACTCAAACTAACGAAATCACCTGACAGAGCAATGTTTGTTCTATGAGCAGGTGTAGTCAGATTCCGTGTGTGTGTGGTCATTCAAGAGAAATCGACGTTCAAAGTCATTGTTTACTTTTCGAATTATACCCTTCTGACACGTTTCTCCTGAAATGATGATCAGACAAACAGACATATTTCTCACTGTAAAACATCGTCGCTAAAACACTACCGCCATCTGTGGTGGGCACTACGCGGAACAGATGGTGGTAGTGTGTAAACGTCAAACGCAATGGAATTGACTATGGGCGCCACAGGTGGCGGTACTACCAACTACGATACGTCTGTTTGTCTGTGCTACTGGTATTAATTTATTTAGGAATTTAGGTGCTGAAGCAACAAATTACTATTTTTTTTAAGAATGCATTCTTGGGAACCTAATTTGACTTTCATACGAGTATTAAACAGAAAAGGTTATATCAAATAATTACCATAGTGCTCGACGCAATGGAGGGTGTATCCAACAGATGTGTTCGCTGGGTGCCTATACCGGTTTCGAATATTTTAGGTCGCTCCCAATCGATGAAAAATATGTCTATACCAGCAATCGTCACAAAAACTCGCAGCAACTTGATGAGCTACGATAATCATAAAAAACTAAGTATTAAATGCCGTCTCAAAGAACAGAACCAATAGATGGTACATACCTTGAAGCCAAAGGCAAGATAGATGAAAATCTCCAAACAACTCTGCACCTCGACCGGTAGCAGCATTTTTACGTTGGTTTGCGTTTTGTATGTGACGAACACGTGCAGTGCCACGATGACCGTTGTGGCGAGCAGTGCCGTGGCTACATTAGAACACAGGTACACAAGAAAGTTGAAGAAAATTTCCATATCGTAGTACAGTTTGTTTTGGCGCAATTTGTGGCAGAATGTTTGGAAGAGCGTCATGGTGAAGGCCAGTAGGATAAATATTGGTAAAATTATCTGCAATAAGAACGACATTTGATTATTCATCAAACAAAATATTCTAGCAAAATTACCTCTAAAATTGATTCGAAACTATACTTTTTACTAAACGTTATCTTGAATTCAAAATCCACTAGCTCTTCGAAAAATGATCCAACAAGTTCTCGTGATATATTAACCACACCGTAGTCCAGCTTAAGTAATGGCACCGCCACGCGATTAGGGTTCTTGTCATGATCCGCATGCAATCTGCACTCCAATTCAACACGTTTCACGTAACGAACAAAGTGGTACTTTTCCTGGGGCGTGCCCTCGTCGTACAGTCTGGGCTTGAAGTGTTCGTTCAATCCCGAGAGCGTGTCTACCATGAGAAACCTTCTGACCAATTGCCACTTTTCCGGATCCAGATTATCATTATGGGAGAACGCCTTCCGTATCAGCACGGGAATCGACCGTAGTAGGCGTATCTTCTGATCGTAGTAGTCCGCGTAGAGATTGATGAACTCGGGTTCACTGAAGTCCTCTAGCATTCGCCGCAAGCTAATCCGACACCGGCGGTGATAACTTTGGGCGAATCGAACCCGCTGCTCTTGGCTGGCGGAATAGCGTTCACAAAGATTCAAATCGGTTAAGCGCATGGCACGGAAATTCCTCAGGTGGCCGTATAAATCGTAGCTAATGAGGGTGAAGTTTAGCGTGTTGTTTATCTGCATGGGGTTGAAAATAGAAGAAAGTGGAAAACCACGGACCAAGGGAAGATTTAATGCAATGGGGTCGGCAATGCTTTCTACTATGGCATTATAAATAGGGCTACACGAATGCAACGCTGGCTGACCCGTGTAGGCAATTTAAAGTGTGTGTGTGTGCTCTAGGTTCCTGTTGACATTTGCATTTTTATGTGCTTGACCGATTTCTAGGCTTCTAGGTGAGCTAAATCAAGAGTGCTTTTAAAGGTCACAGGAAGGGAAATCATTAGAGTGAAGTGCATTTCAATTTTCGATCCAATCAAATGCATGTGGAGTTTTTTTTACTTAATCAATTGAATAGTGTCATGTGTAATTTTTTATATATTTTTCTTCTTCTTCTTATATGCAGCACCGTACTCAGCATTTGACACTAAAGAAATCTCCTGAGCGCCGGTAAAATTGCCCCTTTTCTTTACTTCTTGAAAATTTGCTCAGCTTATGTGAAGTTCCATTATTATTTTTCCAAGTTATCTAAATTAGACCAAGATCTCAGAGGATTCATGATCTTCTCCAAACTTCAGAACCCTCTCTACGATTTTTCTGAACATCTGGACGATAAAAAAATCCCATAACTTCAAGTAAAATCCCAAATTAAACCCTGAAGTTCAAAATTCTCTGAACATCTACGAAGATTGCTGAGCTACCACAATTTCGGCAGAACTTCTACGAAGTTCCTTGAACTTATAAAAAAAACACATACATGAAATTTGTCCAAGCTTCTTGAATTTGTTTGCTTGACTTCTACAAAGTTTTCAGAATACTTGGTTCGGCAGGCGATTTGCACATGTGGACTGAAAAGCGGAATTTTCGTGACAACTGGCACTGTTAACCAAGATATTTATGTAAAGCAATGTTTGCAAAAACGCCTGTTGCCTTTTTTCGAGAAACACAGTTATTCCGTGCTGTTTTGGCCAGACCTCACTTCCTGTCATTACAAAAAAAATGGCTCAGGAATGGTATATAAAGCTGAACATTTCATTAGGTCCTTAGTAACATCGACAGATTCGCTTCGTCGACTTTCTCTTTGTACCCCCACGGCCATGTAAAGACATTCCAAGGTATTTTCAGCACACAGATCGATAAAGAAAGCTTTTATCTAGCATCTAATGCGACAAACACAACAAGAAACGGTTATGTGCTCAAGTTATTAACGAAAAAGAAAGTCGATGAAAAGAATCGATCAATATTACTTAGGACCTAATGTAATGTTCAGCTTGATATCGCTAACAGCGTCCAAGTCGTACCAAAGGACAAAAACTCGCCGGAGCTGCGCCCAATCGAAAAATATTGGGCAATCGTTAAGCGAAACCTGAAGAAAACTCAGAAAAAATGTTGAAAATGAGAAAAGGTTCAAAGCAAATTGGCGTTCAGCATCAAATAAGGTTGATACAACAGCGGAACAAAATCTAATGGATGGTGTGTGAAACGTAAAGCCCAACAGTTTGTATTTGAAAAGTCAGAAGCCTAATAATATTCCTGTATTTTGTTGCCGTTGAACTTCAAAAAGAAAAATAGTTTGATCATTTATATAATAACATAGTCAGTGTTCACTTAATTATATTTGACCAATTTTTGACCATTCCACCCTTTAACTATCAACTCGTATAGTGGAAAAGTATTGCAACACTCATTTAAATATTGCATCACCACCCAAAACGTTTAGCATCATCTAAAAACTACAAGGGACAGCCCAATGGGGTTGTACGGACAGTTGACGAAGGACTACGCTCACATATGTTAACTATTTTAAACGAACGTTATTTAAAATTCCTGATATTATTATGACATCCGTGAATTTCTCCCGAAGTGTAATAGTTGGTCAGTATACATTTTCCGTTTAATACTAATAAGATTCTTTTTCAGTTCATGTAAAATTTTTCTTGTGTTAGAATATTCCAAACTAACTCTTTCTTTGAAAATTGTGGTGGCCCTGAAAAGGGCCATTGTGATGGTTTGTGGCTCTGAAAAGAGCTGTTTTGATGTTGCATGGCCCTCAAAAGAAGTAAGGACTATCCAACGCTTATATAATCACAAAAGCACAAGAATGAGTATCGGCTCGACGACGCCAATCTTATATAAAGGCTGCTGACACGTGATTGGTTAGTTGCTTTATCCAATCAGATTGCATGCGAGTTGTGCTTCGCTAGGATGTTGACAAAATGAACCATTAAGTCAAGGCTATTTTTCACATAGATGGCGCTGTTCCATTGGTAGTAAGTAATAAAATTCTGAGACCTCAACGGATACGGTGCGCTAGTTTGAGCTTGAGTGAGCTTCGACATGACGATAACGTGCTTGATGACGGTAGCCCACAATGCTTTCTCACGATGAGCAACTGTACCCAAACAGTGACAGTGTGGCTTCTAGAGCGCTCTTGCAGGCAGCCTTGGCAGCAAGCTGCTTGTGGGTGGAGCCTTTCGAACACGTCTGAAGTTCGAAAGGAAATGTGGCAATGGCTTGATTCGTTTGGGACCAACAATGTGATGTCTTTGTTAGGAAATACACCTTATGGTGTAAGCAAATGTATGGGAAATTTTGATGCTACAAATTTTAGTTAATTTTCTTAGTTGTTGAACTATTTGCCCTATTTGTACTATATGGCACAAAATTGCTGGAGTAAGCCCCAGGGGGAGAGGTAGCTCATCGATTTTTCCGGTTCGCCTCCTAGCATCGTTCTATAAAGCAAACCCCACACGCATCAATATATTGACGCGAAGGGGAATTATTGACAATAATATTGATGATGTGAATTCAGAAATATTGTCAATAACGATATATTGACGTCAATATAGCATGTATTGACAATACGATTATTGTCAATAAAAGCAATCGTGTAGGGTTCACTTAAGGTACCAGGCGATAACCAGGGTAGTTGATCGATAGCTCGATGACGTCATTTCGTTGACTTCTGCAATGGGAAATTCTCATAGCAGGCGTTGACGATGGGACGTTGTCGAGTTGTTGAATAGCAACTATCGTGGTAACTCACCGATTACCTGCCGATCTGCCAAATTTGGAAAGACGTCTGCATTGAATTGTCTCATATAATAATATTCCGCCCACTATATCACAAGAAATTGCGAGTAGCTGAGTGGAATGGAGATAAGTTAAGCATTGGGTACAGGACCAAGTCTCCTCTGGGTGGTGCCAGAAGATGAGCGCAATAGAATCATCAAGTTGCCATAAGGCACGGAATGAGACTATTGCATGGCTGGGTAGTCAAAGTCATTTCAGGTGGATTAGAACAGGTTTAGGTGGGCGTTGACCAGATTTGGATTTTTCAGGTGTAATCCTGGATAGGACCCTGTCATTGAACGTCGCATGAAAGTGGAACTTAATGAAGGCCTAAGTACTTTTTCGTAGTTTTTAGTTTTCGGATTTGAAAGATCGTCGGTTACAGTGGCCTGCTTACTGAGCAGAAAAACGCGGTCCCAGGTCCTTACATATCAAAGAGATTTATGGTAAAATCTCTTGTGTATCGTGTATTTTGCGAAACTCGTTGTTGTCGTTGGTTCCGGGTTTGAATGGATACACAAATTTGAGCAACGGTATTATGTGATATGAGGCAACCGTTTTTGCTTACTGAGCAGAACATCATGAGTCTAATCTCAGGCCAATCCACATTCAAGATTCGTCAATCGTTTTATTTGCTACATGGTAATAACAGCAACTCGGTGATTAAAAAGGTGCTCGTCTGCCTAGTGGCAAACGTTTTTGCTTACTGAGCAGAAGACCGTGGGTTTAGTCCCAAGCTCCTTCGCGTTATATGATCGTTAGGACGTCAATTCAGCTTATCGTTTACCAAAACGAACCCTGCTGCAAACCCAACCCTCTTATCCAACATCCCAGTGATTCCTCGTGGAAGTGCAGAGGTGTTCTCGGCTTCCATCAAAGCGAGTGTCATATCAACACAATCCTTCCCATTCCTTTTTTGACCTGTGTTCGGGCGCGGCCGGCTCTGCTATTGCCTAATTTAAGATCACCAGTTTTTACACATTGAGGATGATTGCTAGTCCCAAGCATCGTCTATTGGTTCTCTGTGTAATTACAGCTGATCTGGCAGTAACAGAGTAGCAACCGTGGGCGGCCAATCAAGTTCAAGCTCAAGCTCAAGCTCAAAATTGCTGGAGTAAGCCCCTGTCGAATGACATATTGCATGACATATTTCACACTAATGCTTTGGAGATATATGCGTTCAAAACCTGACCCTTTCGTTACATGCTCATTTTTTGTACTCTCAAAGTGTACTCCCATATAGAAAACAAAGACGTAGTCCTACGTCAAAAAAATTGAAAAAGCTGACAAACTATCTGATTACGCTTGGGGAAGATAGCACTTGCGTATTTGGAACTTGAAAATTTACTGATCAACTTCAGAATAGTTCGAAATCACTTCGGAAAGTACTAGACCACTTTAGAAATATCCCGAGCCACTTTGGAAAGTACTGAATCACTTTGGAAAGTACTGAATCACTCCATAAAAAATCGGAATCATATCTAATAGAACTGAATCATACCAGATAGAGTTACCTCTATGGTTATAACATGTTATGACCAGAAGGTCCCGAAGAAACGTGCTCAACTTTTTGGCTCAGCTCTGGTACTCTCTTCGGTCCCAAGCTAATCGATTCACCCCTCGAAACATAGAAAAATCTACTAACCCCTCATTTTATCTGTCAACCTTTCATAGCGAATCAAAACAAACATTGTGTAGTACTATACTTTCGACTAGAATGGGGTACGTTAATCGTTTGCTTGGGACCAATAGGCTATTCAAGTAGTGAGCCAATTTAAAATCGTTAGTTTTGTGTTGATTGTTGTTATAACTCTCCAGTCTGGACAGCGTTTAAGACTTCTTCCTTGTGTGTCACCTTTGATGAAGCTCCTAGGACTAGCTTGTCTTCGGGATGCTCATCGATCGGATTTCTTTTATTTTTTATGGGCAAGACAAATACCGAATGCCAGATAAGCGTGGATCGGTTTTCCGAACCAATCCGAAAGCTCGCGAAACTTTGTTATTGCGATTGCGGACGAACTGCCTTCTTAGAACTTTTAACAGTTTCAATGCGAAAGAAACTATTTATTATTATGAATTTTCACATGTATACATTTTAATATTATTATATACTACACATTATTCCTACACTTACTTCCGTTTGAAAAATTTTGAATCACTTCTAAAAGAACTGAATCACTTCAGAAAAGTCTGGACTCACTTCTGAATTGCATTAGAAACGATCGGGATCACATCTAAAAGTACTGAGTCACTTCATAAAAAAATCTGGAATGTTCGGAATCACTTCGGAAATGTTCTGAATCACTTCAGAAAAAATTGGACTCACCCTTAAAAGAACTTAATCACTTCAAAAATATTTGGAGAGTGTTGAATCACATAAGAAAATAAATCACTTCGTAAACTACGGATTTGAAATCATTCGGAAATCACTTAAGAAAGTACTGATTCACTTCGGATCACGATCGGAATCACTTCGAAAGGTACTGAAGCACTTCAGAAAGGTTCTAAATCACTTCACACAGAAAAAAAAAATTGTTGAATTATACATCCAAACAGCTGCACAGAGGTCATTCCGCTGGTTTGGTGATATTAAATTGTACGATGTACATCGATTTTGCGAACAAAATTACATCCATTGATGTTATATCATAGAGGTAACTCCTAGGGTCAGCGAATCCAAACACATAAAGCAACCAACGATACAGACAAAACTGGTGCTACGACTACCATGACAAACTCGCTCTGTAACAAAGCTCGATCCGAGTGGTAGAAGGATAATGATATATTGCTTGCCTGCTTTGTTGCAATATAGACGGATGAGGACAAAGCTTGATATGAATCGGGAAAAGACATAACAAAAAAATTCCCATTAACACACGTATATCATCTTCGGCTTTACTTCGTGAAGCAGCTTGCCAACAATTTGCTCGTTTCCTTCTACCGCCCCGAATGAGTTGTGCCGCACGGGCTGCTTGTCATGAAAAAGAACGGTGAAGATTATATCATTATTGCTTTCCACTTCTGACATAGCGTTATTATTCGGTTCGTTGATCGCTTGTTATTTTGTCATTTGGAGATATTTTTGATTCCTTGCCTAGGTCCAGAAGGTCCCGAAGAAACTTGATCAACTTTTTGGCTCAGCTCTGGTACTCTCTTCGGTCCCAAGCTAATCGATGCACCACTCGAAGCATAGGAAAATCCACGAGCCCCTCATTTTATCTGTCAAACTTTCATAGCGAATCAAAACATATATAGTGTAGTACTAGAATGGGGTACGTTAATCGATTTACTTGTGACGAATAGGCTTGTCAAGTAGTGAGCCAATTTAAAATCATTAATTTCCACCGGTTGGTAACATTGCTTTTGTTTGGTTTTGGACATTTTAAAGTCAATAGTATCGCATTGTTTATTGTACATAGTCATCATTTGGTTAATATTGCCAAATTTGGCATAGTTCGTACGACGACAATTTGTAGAAAATTAATGTGTATGTCGCAAATTCCGTTAGATTGAACAGAACAGCTTATACAGACAAAAATTGATTAATGTTTGCCAGTTTTTAGCTATTCTACAGCTAACATTGTTTGTTCGGTTATTCATGGAACAATTTGGCCCCAATTATTCTGGCTGAGCAGCTCCATGACAAGTGATTGGTACAGTTCTCCTACTTTCACTCTGTACATAGACATCACGTGCATAAGAGATATTGGCAGACGGCACGCTATTACATGTTTGTTCTGTCTGTACCTCACTGGCTGACTACAAAGGTCAATGGTGAGCTATCAATTAATGTGGCAATGATAGTTCTAAATAAGCAAGGGTTAGTTGAATCGATCCGAAAGCATAGTAAATTCAAGTATACCTAGTGTGAAATTAATGTTCGTATATATTATTGAGTTGTTTGATTTCTAACTAAATACCTAAAAAAACGGAGATGGCGGGTTCAATTCCCGATCCGATCCATTTTCTCGACTTCCCTGGGTGCTTGCCACACAATATACAAATTCATGCATTGATTGGCATATAAAGATCTCAATTAAGAACTGTGGAAGTGCTTCTGGGCTGTTTGGTGAATTTTCACTTAAATTTGACATTTTGAAAATAAATTATAATGTTCGAAAATCTCTCTGTTGTTGGTCGCCCGATGTTTGAGAAGATGTTTGTCAAAATTGAATCAAAAACAGAGGGGTTTTCGAACATTATAATTTATTTTCGAAGTGTCAAATTTAAGTGCAATTCATCAAATGGATCTCTGCCTAAGGCTGTGAACCATTTGCCGAGTTAAAATTAACTCGTGGTTAAAAGTGACATTTCGAAAGTTATTTTCTATGTTCGAAAATTCCCTGTGTTGTCGATCGACCGGTTTTCGACCCACCGTTGTCTAAATTTAACTTCTTGTCTGTCAGAAATAACCATGCTCGGATAGCAGGGTTCATTGATAACTTTCCATCTGTCAAATTTTAACCAAAAGTTAAAATAATCCACCAAATGGTTCAGAGCCTAAGTTTGGTGTCGGCAAAACGCTCGTAAAAGAAGCGTAAAAGTCTAGAAGAAGAATTTTCATGATACCGCAACTACTGAATTACACATAAATCGCGCCTAACCGATTTAGACATGATTTTGGGCTAGCAATAATAATATTCTAATAATCAACCAACGTAAACTTTCCTCACGGCACTATATAAATCATACCAGTACTGTACTGGCAGTACGGAATATAAGCGGCAATGTCCTTTGCTACCCTCAATTTACCTTTCCAGCGCCCTACTTGTGCTACAAAACTACAACAACAGCAAGGAATCCCATGGGGAAGCGTATTGTGAACACGCAACAATAATGGTCACTCCGCCAAAGGCGACCGGAAATACAGCAAGAAACGGCGTGTGCTACATAATTATCAATAGTGTGATGTCGTAAACGAACCAGCTATATGTGCTCAATTTCAACTTCCATTCATAAACCTGTTAATTAGATTGCGGGCTAACGATTCAATATGTAAACTGTGACCAACACACGGTAAATCTACGTTCCATGCTGTGCTTTCTGGAGTGACCAATGACATTAGCATACATAAATATCGTATAAAAAACACACTTACCGAATTGGTTTCGTTGGTATCGTAGCTGAAGTCCAGGTACTTGTCAAAGATTTCGTTGACATACTTCCCACGACGGTAGAACAGGGCCGGTTTAACATTATCGCTCAGCGTCCACAAGTTGGCTGCCTTTCCAGAACCTTCTTTCGGTCCCAGCAGACCCGCCCCAGGAATGTTGCCATCCCCCAAAGATACGTCGTACGTCTGATAGGTGTAGAAGATAGCACATGGCGAATATCTATCCAAGCTGTAGAAAGCGAGTACGCACAGATTGGCCAAATAGTGGCAGTGTCGCGTGCTCCGCATCACATGGCAAAACACAGTTAAGTGCTTAATGTTTCGGAACACGTTACCGTTGTGACGGTGACTCAACCTGAAGGGTTGATAGTTTTGAATGTCTTTCAGCAACGTTTGAGGCAAACAATATGGTACCGATTCTCCTTGTCGCAATTGGTCACCGTATGGGACGGTGTTTTGCTGGCTGCAGCCACAAACGGTACTTTCATTGCCGGGCGGGTAAGTTTTCCGATAGACTTGAATTATCCTGCCAGCGGTCTTGGTCGAATTGAGCAGGCTTACGTGGTGCGTTTTGCAGAACTTTATGATCTCGATACGGGGACCGGGCTGGTCGAACATATCGCTGACATTGCGACAAATCGGACCACGCAGGGAGCTGTCGTAGTCTCGCCACGGAACGGACCGCTCGTCACAGGTGCATGAGAGAACTGGAAGTGATGATGAAATGCAGTTGTAGCAATATTTATAAAGTTGATTTGATGCAGCTTTTGGTTATGTCTTTAATTTTAATTGAAATTATAATTATTGATTATTTTTAAATCATATGTAGTTCCGGAGTGCTTTGAGATTTGGGCGTAATTCATGGTAAGATCATTCTAAAATGTTGAAATCAAAGTAACTGTTATTGATAAATCATTATATAAAACACATAAATTACAATATACAATTAAAAACATATACAAAAGGGAAGGGAGGGTCCAACAGGGCAACCGATTGAAACGATTTGGATAGGGAGAGTGGGATTGCCAACTTCCTGTTGCTAACATTTCGTGGATAGAGAGCGGGCTCTTCTCCACACTTATGGGGCATCCTTCAGGACGAGGGCTTGTTGCATTGCGAATTATATGATCTTGGTTGCTGGAAGGAGATTCTTATTCTGTTCCCGGTGGGTTTCGTGTGGGTGTTTCTGCTTACGGGTCCACCCCTCCGTTTTTGGCCCTTCATACAACGCCAAGCTGAATATGATTTGTCAGTGGGACTTGATCAAGCCGTCCAGATTGGATTGCCAATTGCTATGTGAGTGGTAGTCTCAATCATCATCATCATCACTTTGAGATTTGGGTGTAATTGCTTTTGTAAACAAACAAGTCAATCGCCGATTTCTCTCGAATAAACACTCAATCTCGCAAACAAACTATACCAAATGGTAGAGGAATCATTCTTCTACCTGTTTGTGTTGTTAATTTTCGAGATTGAGCTTTAATTTGCGAGAAATCGGTGATTGGCGTGTTTGTTTACAAAATTAATTACGCCCAAATCTCAAAGTTCTCCGGAGTTGTGTGGTTAGCGGAATGAAACATGAGCAGGTACTGGCGTAATTCTTTGCGCCAATCTTTGCCAAGCTCTTGCGCTATTTTCAGTCGTTTCAATATTGCTGATTCACAGAAATCATGGCATGCATCCAGGCATGGAAAATCATTTGCATTCATTTCGTGCATTCATTTACATTCATTTGCCTCTAACTTTTTTTCTTGAACAGCATTCTGCAAAATAATGTTTGAAGCTTTTGTAGGTTTTGTTATTAGCTACAACTTTTATTAAGAAGTCAAATTCGTATCACTTATGCATGACGAACCAGAGCGAACAGAATCCACTACTGTTTTTCAGTGAATCCCGAATAGAAATTTACATTAGCCCAACGTTTGATTTTGATGTCTACATCAGCATCAAAATCAAATGTATGCCTGATGTCAAACATTAGGAAACATTATGATTTAGATGTATTTAAGCAACGTAACATGATGTATACATCAGAAATTTTGGAACAAAATTTTGCCATTCTAATGTCGGTCTGACGTCAAAAATTTCAATCTATTGACATTAGAACCAAACGTTTTAAGGATGTTTTCAGATGTACAAAACGTTAGAACTAAACGTTGTTCGGATGTTTTTAAATGTAAACGTTTTCTGATGTTTTCTAATGTAGATGTTTCCTGATGTTAGAAACAAACGTTTTTGGATGTTTTCAGATGTAAAAAACGTTAGAACTAAACGTTTTTCGGATGTTTTTATATGTAAACGTTTTCTGATGTTTTCTAATGTAAAGGTTTCCTGATGTTAGAATCAAACGTTTTTGGGTTGTTTTCGGATGTAAAAAACGTTAGAACTAAACGTTGTTCGAATGTTTTTATATGTAAATGTATTCTGATGTTTTCTAACGTAGATGCCTCCCGATGCTGGAACCAAACTTTTTTTTGGATGTTTTCGGATGTACACAACGTTAGAACTAAACGTTGTTCGGATGTTTTTAATTGTACTTCGTGTTTGTTGTTCTCTGATGTTTTCAGATGTACAAAACGTTTAAAGTAAACGTTGTTTGAATGTTTTCAAATGTAGATGTTTACTAATGTTTTTAGATATACAAAACACTAGAATCTTACTTTTCAAATGCTTTCAATTATATTTACAACACATTAGAATTAGAAACATGATCGTGTAAACACTACACACCATTGTTGTTAGATAACATAATAAAAATGCGTACATAACAGTCAATGCTGAAGCTCCCGTTTCCCACCAGTCAGTTAACTGACCTTAGCTAACCTAATATCATTGCGGCAACTCTCTATGCGGCAGGGGAACTATGCCATTAGCGCGCTAAGAGTTATTAGACCACTGACATAGGCGCCAATTTGTAGGTGACGAGGCACTTGGTGACATTACAGCGAGCTTGACGATTGTTGCAGCATTTTTTTAGCAAACTACCAGTTAAGGTGTGTAGTGTTTACAAGATCATGTTTCTAGCTCTAATGTTTTGTACAATTGAAAGCATTGGAAAAGTTAATTCTCATGTTTTGCATAACCAAAACCATCAGAAAACATAAAATAGTACAAAAAAAATCATCCATTCTGGTAGACTATCTCTTAAATGCATACAGAATAGCCATTGCTTAAGCTCCCGTTTCCCACCAGTCAGTTAACTGACCTTAGCTAACCTAATATCATTGTGGCAACTCTCTATGCGGCAGGGGAACTATGCCATTAGCGCGCTAAGAGTTGTTAGACCACTGACATAGGCGCCTATTCGTGGGTGACGAGGCACTTGGTGACATTACAGCGAGCTTGGCGATTGTTATAGCATTTTTGAGTGAACTACCAAACAATCATGACAATGTGATCGCTGCGCCTCCAGATCTCTGCCTGTTCTACAGATGATCCGAAAATGCGGAAAGTTTTGGGCTGCCAGTCTTCTACCTTATTGACGAACTGCAAATATATAATAAACAAAATTATTGTGCATGAAAAATATGACAATGGACAATGCTTGAGGAGCACTGGGAGTTTTCGAACGATGCGTGCTTAGGACCATCTTTGGCAGGGTATATGAAAATGGTGTATAGAGGAGAAGAATGAACCACGAACTGGCGTAACTTTATGGTGAACCCAATATCAAGAAAGTCGCTAAAGGTGGAAGGGTACAATGGGCGGGACACGTTGTAAGAATGCCGGACAACAATACCGCAAAAATGGTGTTTTTCCTCAAATCCGGCCGGTACAAGACGCAGAGAAGCACAGCGTGCTAGGTGGTTAGACCAAGTGGAGCAAGATGTAGGAAGTGTGGGACGCTCGAGAAATTGGAGATAAGCAGCCAGGGACCGAGTTAGTTGGCGCAACTTTGTTATACAAAACCAGATTGAATGCCTTATTCATACTCGAATCGGTTGAAAAATAGACTTAATCTTCTAGGTTACTCGATATGCATCCATTGCAAACAATATTTTGATAATTGTTTGTTTTGAGAGCTGGTGCACAGGTAGATTGAGGTTAAGGAAACGCCACTGCTTGTGGCCAATCTTGGGTACCATCATAAGGCTTGATGAAACTTATTCCACCCGGAAACATGTTTTTTCCGGAATTATGAAGTCATTATACGTTATGATGACATTTTGTATTTTTAAGTTACAAGAGGACGTTGTAAAGGATGAGTTTGACGTATAAAACCTGTGGATTTAATTTTCAGAGAGTCGCAATCAGCGTATTCATTAAATCACTTATGGCTAAGCTCCAATCGGTATTATCCTCGGATTAAATAACGATCAAGAATGTCCGGCTGCTTTGATGTCGACATCAGAGTTATTCGCTATACAAACAATTCTCAGATCATCCAAACAGGGGCGGTATTAAAAGTTAATCCGAGTTGGAGCTTACCGCCGCTTACTCTCTGAATCCAATATTGATAGGCTGAAAAAAAAAATGGTTTAAAAATGGAACCTAAATCCAAAATTTCATAAATTTTGGTTCACATGAACCACAGAGAACAGACATGGAGGCTCGAACAAAATTTCTCTAAAAACTTGTGTAAAGATTCCTATTCGACTTAAGCGCCACTAACAGCGACTTCCCCACTTAAAAAACCTCTTTGAAAACATGATGGCGCATGCGTTGCACAAATTACACTAGACACTAAGTGCTAGTAGCGCCAAGTGGCTATTTTCAACAGAAAATTTATAGATACTAGCGCCAAATTGGTCGAAAGTGGAAAATTTATAGAGAAAATCAGGAGATGCTAACACCACGTAACGGCGACGTTCCCACTTATTTTACACAAGTTTCTGACCGAGCTTCAACGTCTGTTCTCTGTGCATGAACTATGATAAATCAGTGCGATTACATTTGCAAATATCACCATTTTAGCGGCCCTCGCCATAGAGCGAACTCTCATTTAATGGATATTAATGTCATCTAATACAATTTATCGACAATTTAAATCTTGGTTTACAAATCGAGATGAATGTCTGGGAACGATAAAAATATATTTGTGCTCAGAAAACGAAGCTCGTTCAGATGATGTACAAAAATCTGTTTGTTTTTCGAAACTATACAACCCAATTCCATGTTTTCCACACGAAACGAAAATTAATGGCACTACACTAATAGCATCCCATGCCGGCGCCCGTGGTGTAGTGGTAAGAGTGACTGCTTTCTAATACCCCAATGGGTCTGGGTTCAATCCCAGCCGAGGTCGGTGGGATTTTTCTGAGGCATAAAAATCTCTGGTCACGTCTTCCTTCGGAAGGGAAGTAAAGCCGTTGGTCCCGGCCCATGTGTGTTGAATGGGTGCGATATCCTACGCAGGTGTGGAAGCTGCCTTCCTGCACATTCGATTGCCGTCAATGGATGGCAATCGATGTCCGTTGGTGATTGGCACTAGATTGCGGAACAGAGACCGACGTTAAATAAAGGAAAGAAGAATAATAGAATTCCACACATTTTTATTGAAGAATTCCCATGTAAAATTCCACATGATTTACATGTAACCACACATAAACAGAATTCACCCAGAAGCACACATGAAATTTATGAGTCAAATGAATAGTATGCGTGGTTACACATGGCTTTTATGTGTGCACATATTCAGTATGTGTCCGACACATAGATATAATTTGTATTGGAAAAGTAGGACATATAGAAACAATCTTTGAAATTT